ATTATTTATTTATTTATTAAAAACTCTGTTTAACCGAATTGTCTTAATTTGTTTTTCTTTTATTGTAATTACAAATGAGTTAGGAAAACTCATTACAATCTATATATTTATATTTAACTATGTTACTACAATATTTTAAAAATGGTTCTGAACAGTAATACTATTATTGTTATTGTTATTTATATTTATCAAGTTTACTATATAATTGGATCATTCTCTCTGATTAAAAATTATGTTAAAGACTTGCTTACTAAATTAGAATTTGATTCTATCCTTTTGATATCTGTGAAAGCTAACACATAGTGTATATTAAATAATATATATTACAAAATAGAAATTTGTACATGTGATTATATTTGTTAAAGGTTATTTGCCAATATATTATAATCACATTTTATTTGTTATACATCAATCTGCACAAATTTATTGATTTGCATCTACATCTGTGATGAATAAATTTATTTACAGATCCCACTACTAGTAGGTTTAAGTACACTTTTTTATTTTGAAGGTATTATACAAATTTTTTTATAATCTTTTATTATTACATTTTAAAGGTACAGCATGAGTTTTTCTTTTTGGTCATCTTGGAGGAGGAGAGGAAGAAAATGGTGAAGGAGATTGAGTATCTGAAGATTCATATTTGATCTCAAATACTTTATTTTTTATTTTTTTTTATTTTGAACTAAGTTTTTAGAAAATTTTTGAAATAGTTTTAAAATTCATAAATATTTATAATATTTTATGTTTTTCTCTATAATTTTTATATAGCTATTTTTTGAATTTAATATTGTTTGAACTATACTTATTTACAAAATTATTTTGAGGTCCTGAAATTGCAATTTTGAAAAAAAAAGTTAAAATAGTTTTTTATAAAAGACAAAATTATTTTACTTAAAATTCAAAATTTTTTGACCACCTAGATTTATTCTTTGATTGAATATATATATAACTGGTACTTTTTTTACTTTCAAATATAGAATAGATTCTGTATAAATCTCAAAAAGTCGAAACATCTCAAAAATCCAAAATCAATTTTGGAAATATGTATAGTTTGAACAATTAATATAGCTCAAGTAACATGTTGTTCAGGTGGTTTCAATTTTGAGGTGAGAGATTATATTTTTTTTAGAATTGTCTTCATGTAAGTTGAATTTCTGGAAAAATCTGATTTATCAAATTTTTTTTATAACAACTTTTGATACTGAAGAATTGCTTCTAATTTATAATTTTTTGAAATTTAGCAATAGATTTTATTGGATGGAAATGGTTATTAAAAATTTCACTACACAATTGGTCTTATAATGAATGTAACTTATCATCTAACTTTATTTAATTATTAAAAAAATGAAACAAATTTCAAAACATTTTACAATATTTCAAATTTCATACCTTAGAATGAATTTTTGATTTATAATATATATTTCATTTTCAACTAAGTAAATTATAAATTTCTTCATAATTATTTTGAATGTAGTCTTCACATTTTTCTTTAAGTTCTTTAGAACTAGGGTATAAATTTGATTTTAATATTATTTTGATAGTATTTGCGATTATATTCTATTAATAAAATTTTATTAATAATTATCAAACTTTGAAACTTTATTAAAATTATTAATAAAGGTTACTTACATCCATAAACTCTTTGTCATTAGTTAATAAATATATTTTATTTTTTATTTTTTTACATCATTTTTCATATTGCTTTGACTCTTCTTTATATCTACAAATTTTAGTTCAAGTTTATTTATTTTTTCGAAGATTTTTAAAAGTAGCACATTGTTATTTGTATTATTAAATAATATTATTTAACAATCAATAAATAAACTGAAGTTTTGTAAAAGTTAACAAAACTTTTGAAAAAATTTTTATTTAACTATAATATACAATTCTTATTTCTAAAATATTATATCCTGATGCTATTGCTATTTTTGTTTTTGACAACAGTACCAATCATACAATGCCTGATGATGGATTAAGTGTATATAAAATGAATCTTTTACCTGGAGAAAAAAAAAATCTATGATTCATGATACTTATTTTGGACCAAATAATATTTATCAAAGTTTAATTTTTCCACCAGATCATCCAGTTTATCCTAATAAATCAAAAGGAATAAAGCAAATATTAATAGAGCAAAATTTATAGCCAACAAATTTTGATAAATTCAAGCTTAATTGTGATCTTTGTAAAGGAAAAAATAGAATAAATGATCCAAAATGTATAGACTGTTGTGCACATAGATTATTATCAATGCAACCAGATTTTAAAAATTAAAAATTGAAAATTGAAATTGCAATTGAAGAAAAAGGATATAAATGTATTTTTTATCTTAAATTTCATTGTGAATTAAATTATATTGAAATGTATTGGGGAGCAGCTAAAAGATTTACAAGAGAAAATTGTAATTATACATGGGTTGGATTACAAAAAACAGCTCCTGAAGCTTTAGATTCTGTACCTTTAATAATGATTAGAAAATTTGCACAATAATCTCAAGGATATATGGATGCATATAGAAAAGGTTTAACAGGAGAATACCAGATGAAATTTTTAATGAACTAAAAGATTTTTGAATAAAATAAATTTAATAAAAAAATAATATTTTTTACTATTTTTTTATATTCCCAATTTATTTTATATATGAAAAGTATTTGATTTTAAATGCTTAAAATAAAAACTGATAATTTCGAAAGAGCAAATTAATATCTATCATATTTATCAGTTAAAATTTCCATTTTAAGTTTCTATTAGGAGCCTTAATCTTTTAAAGTTAGCTTTATTTCACGGTTAAAATTTTTGGTTATAGGCTTCCCGCACTGTATATTTTTTATTATTACTATTATTTAGACTGATATAATTCTTATATATTAAATACGTATTTTAAATTTCACCATTATTAAAAACTGAAGGAGGATACTTTTTTTACTTGTTAAAATGATAAAAGAATAAATCCCAAAAGATCAAATTATTTTGTACTACACGATAATGATTCACATTTACATATTTTAAATTAAAGTTAGATATAAAAACAAGTTCATCAATTATAAAGTTTCAGTCTTGAAGCTCAAATTGAAAGAATGATAGTCATTCAAAATTCAAACGTTGAAAACTTTAATATATATCCGAAAATATATACATATAATGTACTAACTTTCGGTACAGATGAACTTCCTATAGAGGTGTACTAGTTCGATTTGTACTAAGAACACCTGTAGCACAGATACTGTACAGTACTTGTACTAAATTTCGCCAGTGCTACTACAACCCTACATTTTATACATCAAATTAATAAGTGCATTTTTGTAAATAACGAAATGGATTAGGAAAAAAAAAGAGTTCAGATGAAAAATTATCATTATTGAAGGATCAAGCATGAAGATAATCTGATTAATCGTTAATTAGAACAAAAAAAAAAAAAGTTTAAAATTTATTAATATCGTATATAATGTTGAGGTTAAAATATCAATATATGAACTTTACATTTTTTTTATTGCTGTACTTTTCATGTTATTTCAATAAACAGATAACAACAATCGTAATAATAATAAAAACTAAATCACCAAATCGAGAGTATTATTTCATGAATTAATATAAAACGTTGTAAATTTGTGAATTCTTTTAAAATGATGAGAAAATTTCAAATTATAGTGATTTAATTGGTTCAATTCTCAAGTTACCTGGTGCCCCGAAAGTATTTAAGAAATTAGAAACGTTATTTTAAGGATGATAGATTATGAATAAATAACATTTAATTTGTGATAATATTTTAATCCAAGTAATAAAAACATAATATAAATATTTGTTATATATTCCGAGTATATAATTAATTAATTAATTTGTACAATGTAAACAGTTTCCTTTTATTTTATAAAAAAATAATTCCTTGTTATGGTTAGTGGTGTTTCTTTATTTATTTGTTATTACTGTATATAATAAAATCGAACATATTGGTTAATTAAATTATTAAATTTTTTCTTTCTTGTGTGAAAAAGAAATTTTTTTTCTTACGCAAGATTCATTATAGATGTGTTTTGTCTAAATAAATATAGATGATTCTGCTTGATTATTATATTAAAAGGTAAATACATGATTATTATTTTATAAAGAATATAATTTCTCTTTGCCTCAAGAAATTGACTTGCTCACTAAATTGGGATTTGATTCATATCCTTTCGATTAACGTGCTTTTCCAGTTGTTAATTACATGTGTGATAGTCCAACTAGTAAATACGAGAATCATATCAATTGGCAGTCACTGTAGCAACGGAATGTACTTACATCTGAAGACTCTATTTGCCATTACTTTTTTTCCTTAGTATGTCTTATTATTCCAAAAAGCATTCACTTCCGGAAAATCTTTTTCACCCTTGGAATAAAAAATTATTAGTTAGTATTTCGACTCGACTATTTCAATTAATTACAAGTGAAAGTTGCTCAAAATAAACAAGAATCTTTGTTATCAGAATATCTTGAAACTTCTATCTGCAACATTCTGATCAATATCAAAATCCTTATGGAATAATTGATTTACAACAACTTCTTTAATGCATTTGCACAACTGTTTTATTAATGGAATCTTAAAACTTATTCTTAAGAATCACAAAAATTCAAAACCACTAAGAAACCCTTAATAAATAGTCCAACATATCAAACTATAAAAATAGAACAAGTCAAAATGTATATGAAATAAAAATAATAATTAAAAATAAACATTAATTTTTTCATATTGGAAAAGAGAGTAACAAATTTAATTTTTATCTTTATTTATATTGAGCTTAAAAAAAATAAGTTATGTTTACATATAATTTAAAAAAGTGGAATCATTTTTATAAAGTTTAAAGCCTATTGCATAAGAATCTTAGAGTCTTGTTTCAAAAAAAAAAATAGGTTAAAGTTCATAAGAATAAAATGTTAACAAATAAAATTAATTGTTTAGCTTATAGTTTAGCTTAGAGATTATATCGGTACTCGAAAATTTTAAATATGAAAATTTGACATCAATGATTTACTATTTTTCTTGCATAAACGCAACTGATGTCCTGATAACTATTAAACTCACGTAATTCTTTAGCTGAAATATCCAGATTATTTTTAAGTTCTTCTGAACTTATCTTCAAAGCTTCTTGTAACAAAGGCTTCAGATTAGAAAGTACAAGCCTGCAATTTTCTGCAGTCTGTAAGAATTAAATTTTTAATAAAAATATAAAAAACAATCTGATGATTCTGATAAATATTAACTTCATAACTTCATTACCGCTTGACCTAGTTTGCCAGCTTCGGGACCATGTGGTAACCGATTCTTTTCTTCTATGATATCTTCAAGATTTTCTTGTTGTTCAAAATATGATCGCACTTTGTAAACTGTTAGTATATCGAGACCTCGTAGTTCGAGCATTTTATTAACTTTAAGAAGATTATATTTATATTTATTATTATTATATTCGCAAAATCTTTTTAAAAAAAAAAAATAAATTATGTGTAAAACTCTTTTACCTGCATTGAACAATTGGCTTGTAACGGGACCCGTTTGAAGAGGTGCACTAAATTCCACTAACTTCATTATGATAATAACCCATGATATTAAATTCCATTATTATTTGTTCCGTTAAAATGTGAACTTTATTACCTCCAGATATCCTCCAGGTTTCAAAACTCTAGTCAATTCATTCATGACATCAGGCCAACTGTCTTTAGGAATTGATAAACACAATAATCTTTGGAATACATAATCAAAAGTATCATTTTCAAATGGTAATCCATTTAAAAGATTTGCTTTAATAAAATTAACATTTGGAGGTCTTATTTCTGTTGGTTGAATGGGCGATATGTCCACTCCCGTAAATTGGGCATTAGGATAATCGGATGCCATCTCGAGCATCCAGGAACCTGCGCCACAGCTTTCATTAATTTGTGAGTAGTAAACTTCGAAAGGAAAAAATAAAATTTAGTGAATGTAATATGCTGTAAATATATACCCAACATCAAGAACTTTTGAGCCATCTTGATTCAAAATATGTTCGACGGGCGCTGCAAAATTTCTCTGCCAAACATATCGAATCAGAAAATGTTGTATATGTAATCTATCCGATTCTTCATCATCATTTGGAAGAGGATATTTCACGCTTTCAAAATTATGATATCTTCTACCATCATTATATCTAAAATCAGGATTTTCTTGCACATTTATTGGTGGTAAGGGTTCACTTTTTTTCGATGTTTTAGATAATTTAATTCCCATATTTTTTAAAAGAATGTTATTGTTATAAGAATATTTATAAACAAAAAAAAAATTTCGATATGATTGAAACAATTCAAAAACATAAAACATATATTTGTTTGACAATTATCTATTAATGATAATAGTAAATTCCGATGTAACCATCACACTATGCAAACAATCATTTTATACCTCGATGAACATTTTAATTTAATTATTAGAAACAAATATATTCATTTCACGCATCTAATCTGATATCTATAAAACGTTCTATTCTAATTTAAGAAATTACAATAAAAATATTAAACATACAGTACCTTTTTAAGAGAACTTGTATCAGAAAGTAAAAATAATATTAACAAAAAACACTGGTCGACTTGTATATTCTAGCAAAACTCATTAATAAAACTTCAATTCCATGAAAAAGGGGAAAATAAAAAAAAAAAGTTAGGTTTACAGAAGACAATATTCTATCAGCGTTAATACGTGAGATATTTTACGTGTATATCATCAAAGAAAAAGTTATAGTTTAACGAATTATAATTTAACAAAATTTGCTTTATTGATCCTCCAACACATTCTAGAGGGAAAAGATCATCATCTTCAATATTAAAAAGGTCATTATTTACTTTATATTTTCACTTACCAATTATACCTTCACCTGTAAGCTTAAAATGTACCCATTCATTTGGCTTTATGAATATGTATCGCTTTTGAAAGTTCATTTAAAGAAATAAATGAATCTTACGAAAATATTAATAAAAAAAAAAATTGTAAATTCATACCTCTGAAATAACGAGTTTTTACTCCAAGAATTTATTGTGCTAATTAAATCAACTTTGTTAAATTAACTTTAAAACTTACTTCCCACGCATTGAGTTACACACCAAACTACCATATGACCTGATTCCTTAACTGCTTGGAATATGGTAAGTATTTTTCCAATAATTCTTTGAGTTCATAAGGTTGCATACTTGGACCAACATTAATCTCAATAGGATTTTGTATTCCACGGATATGTTCAACATGTGCGCTATTTAATTGTCGAGTTCTATCACAAACTCATAAGAAATGAGTTCCAACATTAAACCATTTAAGTTCACTAGTAATAGGATCTTTTAATTGATACGTTTAGCTTTGTTCATACATCTTTCATGTGACATGAATAAATCAACACTATTAATGAGTTGAAATAGGAGACAATGGATTGTCTGCACCAATCGTCGGTAAGACGATTACAATTATCTGTCGCGTTCTATTAGAACGTACCTGATGAAGTAACCATTCTGAGAAATGAAGATCTAATAGTTGTTTAAATAAAACTTCAATTGTTATATAATTCAATTTCATTTAAAGTTTATAATTAGACCTAGTAATTTAAGAATGAAAATAAGCTCTAGTGAAAGTAATAATGAATTGATGAAAATGATGAAAATAATGAGAATAATGAAAATAATGAGCAATGGAAATATTTTACCTTACAAGGCGTTCAGGATCGGGCTTTCTGTCATCCAAATCAGATCCATTAACATTATCTCCTCGAAAAGATGGAATATCCTGACCTTCGAATGGATTTGATCGTGGTTTTGCATATTGACTAGACAATTGAGCAATTCGTACCACCGGAATTCTAGCACCCAAGTGGGCACCGAGCTCATCTGAAGAAGTACTTTGAATTTTGACTCTACCGGTTCCTAATTATATATGTGTGAAAATAGTACACGAAAAAATAGTATATGAAATAATTAGAACAAGCAAATTGAAATTTAGGAAATTTAAGAAAAATTTATTAAAAGAAATAATATAATAATTATTTGCGAGCAATAATCACAAAGCAACTTGTTTTAATTGATTACGAAGACGAAGTTTTGTAATCTGATTAAAAAATTATGTTAAAGAATAAAGATTAACCTCTTCAGATGTCACCATCGGAGGGAAATGGTTTAATTTAGTCAAAGCCTTTTGTTATCATAAATATTCTTTGCAAAATTGATGATTTAATTAAAGCTTACTTCAGTAATAGACTCACTATACTCAAAATTGTATTTCGAGTATCCGTTATCACTATGGCATTACAAAAGGTAATTTTTATCAAAACTTTGTCGTTATTAGTTTAGCGAAGCGACTATCTGCTAATCTTGCTTGCTCAAGCGATATAATTGTGGATACTTCGCAATCAGTCTCAGGTGAAAAAATTTCTTTAAAATCGGATCTTATTCTTCTCAAGATATATGCCATGCATACAACTATTGAGAAAAAGATATCCGAAACCTTAATTTCTTTATCGTCAGAACTTATCAAAAATTGAATCTGATATAGATACCGTTATCCTTCTTTTACAATAAAATTTCAAATGTCTCAAGAAAAGTTAGAGCTTTTGAGTTGTGAGACAATAGTAATTGCTGTAAAAAAGAACGCGAGAGTATAAATGAGGCTTATTTCTTAAAATACAATGAAACCCGCCACAAAAAAGAATTAAAAGATCTCTCATTAAATATGGGTAATTTTTGTTTCTAGTCTGGGTAAAGCATTCGACAAAAGAATTTTATTTCAAAAATGATACGATTTATACTATTGAGATACTAAAATCAATCACTACGTTCTTTGCATTATTATTGTTATTTTCACAGCTCTATTTTGATTAGCGCAACATTAATATATATTAATATGTGACTAATCTGAGATAGTGATCAATTATGTCATTAAAAACTTATTATAATTAAATAATTGAATAAATAATTGATTATATAATTAATTAATTATTATCATAAATAATTTATTAAAAATAATTTATTTCAATAGTCCAACTATCTCACTAACTCTTCCGCAATTAAATTTAAATTCTGGGGGAGGGAAAAACATTATTATATATTGAGAAGTGTTATAATCATTATTATTATCGTTATTTTCATCGTTATTATTGTTATTATTATTTTGGAAAGAATTAGTAATCGAAACAATTGAAGCAATAGTAGTGGTGATGATAGTAGTAGTTATAGCAGCTATCGAAGCAGATATAAAAAAAAGTCATAAATATTAAAAAATATTTAATAGAAGAAAGCCGTTATTTCTCTTTCTTTTCTTTCTTTTCAAAAAAAAAACAAAATTCATTTCGAATTGGTTCTTTCTATTCATCTGTAATATTACTGTAATAATAATAAATATTATCTATAATGATATTTTCTTTTATTACTAACCCATAAGCTCACAATTTGTTATATAAATAATAAAAACTTTATTTCATATAATATGGTTTTTATATATTTTAATGAATGACAATTATAATGATTATAATTATAACAAGAAATTGAAATAATAATAATAGTTTAGAAATAATATTGCGCAACTCAAAAAATGATTTGATAAATGGACAAGCGGAAATGTCACAATAGATAAATTTATTCAGGATGCTTATGATTATAGAAAAGTAATATGATAGATTTCAAGATATTAAACAAATAGCTAAGTGAATTTATACTATTCAAAAGATTTAACTCATGAATTAGATAAAGTTCATTGTTGTAAATATTTTAAAAGATTCATTGAATAATAAATATCAAATTTTGGTTTAAATAATTAATTATAAATAATATAAAAAGGAAGTATTTTCCAAAAATAAAACATTTGCAACTCCAACAAATTATAAAACAACATCTAGACTTCTTAATTTTTCAAAATCTTCCAAATTGAAGAAAATTTTGAAAAAAAAACTTGATGAATTAGCAAGAATCTTTTTATCAAACAAATGTTAGTTAGTTCAAATCTTCTTACTATATCTTTAGTAGCTATTCTTTCAAATACATATAAAGAAATACGTAGCCTGATTTATAAATGATAAATAATAATAATTGAAAGTTTACCGTAATGACAATTCATTCGAACCAATTTGTTAACTACTACGTTGGATAATAATAAACATTAATATCTATATTATATATTAATATATTAAAAAACGTCAACAGCAGATTCTGGGTAAGAGTAAAGGAAGATATCATTGATCAAATCCTTAAATGTTAAAAGAAATCGTTTAATAATTTATTAAATATTTATTGATTAAATAATTTACTAAAGATAATTAAATAAATAAATTTGCTAATAAAAAATTATTTAAATAAATCGGAATTTATGACTATCTTCCATTGTAATCGCGATTGAATTAGTTTCATAATTTATTGGACGTTATCATTCATCGATCCAAGGTTTCCTTCCATCATTATTAATTTTGATCAAATTCATTAGTAGTTACAATAGCTATCGAGTCAGGTGATATATAAAAGAATAAAAATAAAAAATATTAGAATATTCATCTAGTTGATAGAATCTTACAATAATATAAAAGAGTAATAAATTGTCCAACATATCCAGGAATAAAAAAAAATAAAATAATAACTAACAATAAGCATGAAAAAAAAATATTATTTTCATATTGAAAAAGAAAGTAACAAATTTAATTTTCAATACGTTTTTATTTTATATTGAGCTTAAAAAAATAAGTTTTTACATATAATTTAAAAAATAAGTTGTGTTAGTTTACATATAATTTAAAAATAAGTTATGTTTACATATAATTTTTTTTTTAAAACAAAGTGGGTGCTTTTTATTAAGTTTAAAGTTTAATGTATAAGAATCTTATCAAAAAATAGGTTAAAGTTTAGAATATGAAAATATGAAAATTTGACATGTCACGTTCAATGATTTTATTTTTTTCTTGCAAAAACGCAATAAGCATCATGATAAGTATTAAACTCACGTAATTCTTTAACTAAAATATCCATATTATTATCAAATTCTTCTGAACTTATCTTCATATTTTCCAGAAAAAAAGGCTTCATATGAGAAAGTACAATCCTGGAATTTTCTACCGCCTGTAAGAATTAATTTTTTAATAAAAATATAAAAAACAATCTGATGATTCCGATAAATATTAACTTCATAACTTCATTACCGCTTGACCTAACTTGCCAGTTTCGGAACCATATGGTAACCGATTCTTTTCTTCTATGACATTTTCAAGACTTTCTTGTTGTTCAAAATATGATCGCAATTTTTAAGGTATTTGTATATCTAAATCTCGTTGTTCGAACCATTTTCCAACTTTGAGGATATTATTATTCATTATTATTATGTTATCAAAATTCCGAAAAAAAAAAATAATAAAATTAATTGTAAAACTTTTTTACGTGCAATGAACAATCGGGTTGAAACGGAACCCGTTTGAAGAGGTATAGGATTAATTTCCACTAACTTCATTATAATAAATAAATTCATGACATTAAATTCCATTCTTATTTGTTCCGTTAAAATGTGAGTTTTTATTACCTCCAAATATCCTCCCGGTTTCAAAACTCTAGTCAATTCATTGATAACATTAGGCCAACTGTCTTTAGGAATTGCTGAAAACAAGAATCTTTGGAATACATAATCAAAAGTATCATTTTCAAATGGTAATCCATTTAAAAGATTTGCTATAATAAAATTAACATTTTGAGGTCTTATTTCTGAAGGTTGAATGGGTGATATGTCCAATCCTGTAATTTGAGTATTAGGATAATCGGATGCCATCTCAAACATTCAGGAACCTGCGCCACAGCTTTCATTAAAATGAATTAATTTGTGAGTAGTGAACTTCGAAAGAAAAACAAAATTTAGTGAATGTAATATGTTATAAATATATACCCAACATCAAGAACTTTTGAACCATTTTGATTCAAAACATGTTTGACGGGCGCTGCGAAATTTCTCTGCCAAATATATCGAAGTAGAAAATGTTGTTGATGTAATCTATCCAATTCTTCATCATCATTTGGAAGAGGATATTTCACGCTTTCAACATTATGATATCTTCTACCATTAATATATCTAAAATCAGGATCTTCTTGCATATTTGTTGAAGGTGAGGATTTACTTTTTTTCAATGTTTTAGAGAATTTAATTCCCATATGTTAAAAGAATGATATTACAATAAACAAAAAAAAAATTTTCGATGAAACAAATCAAAAAACAAAAAATGAACACTTAATTTAATTATTAGAGAAACAAATATTGTGTATATATTACTAATTGCATATTGAAAAGGGTTCATTACAATAATAATATACAGTGGCGATCAAAAGTATTGCATCATCTGAACAAAAATTTTAAAATTTTAATATCGTGTGATACTTGATGTACAGAGTAACATAAAAATTTTTTTTAGACTCCCAAAAATGATTTAAATTCAATAAAAAAAAATAATTACACATTAATAAATTCAAAATTTAGAAAAAAATTATTTTATATGATTTACGGATGCATTTCTTTTGATCGTTCTTTTATTTTTTTTATTTATGTAGATGTAAATAGTAAACATTGATAATCTAGATAATTATTAAATATTGTTATACGAGAAAAATATTAATATTGTATTAATTTCAATACAGTGCGGAACCTCTATAATAGGAACTTGGTTATAATAAAAATTGTTCAGTCGTTTTGCATTAAACCTTATTTATTATATATAGAAATAAAATTTTAACCGTAGAAATTGATAACTCAGAACCAAAGCTTTGATCTGATCAATTTTACTGGGCTGTATTCCACCAAATTTGAGAATACTGTATATTAAAAATAGTAAAACATTATAATTTTGCTTAAAACTGTTCCTGAAGTTTTATATTTAATTTTTCTAATTACTATTTGAAAATATGTATAAAAATCTTGGAGGTATATAGATATATATAGAAAAGGTATTACTGAAAAAATGACAAGATATGCAGTTAAAAAATATAAATCTCATCATCAATTAGCATGACAGAAGTTCCCTTTTATTGGTTGTCAGTAAATAAGATCAGCTGTTCAAAATATATACTAGCCAGCTCAAAAAATAAAACCAAAATAATTTCGTGTATACGTGTGTATTTTCTTTGTGCATTTTATATTTCATTTAAAAAATGACAAAAAAAAATTTAGGTCTGTGTTTAATAGAGAACTGTGTTTACACTGGTGATTTCTTTCGCAGAATTACAGATCTTGCATACCAGAAATGCCAAGAAAATATGTTTAGAAACATATCCTTGTTTTGAAATAGGAAAGCAACTTTGTTATCCACATTATTGCAAGATAGCAGAGTTTAAATACAATCAAAATAAACATAAATGAAAGGAAAGGTCAGAAAGTCAGGAAACAGTAGAAAAAAAGTTATAGTCAAAGATACAGAATCTCAGTTACTAGAAAAAGGTAATATTATTAAATAAATATAAGTTATTACCTAATTTTTATTAATAATAATTTCAATATTTTCATCAAAAATAAAAATATTAACAAAAGGATTGTATAATAAACAATGTCAAGAAGGTGCCAGCTTAGAATTAGAACCTCAAAAATTTGAAAAAATGATTGAAAATATAAGTCCTGAACTTAAGGGATTTTTTCCTACAATGGATGCAATTATTCCTAAGGAATAATCAGCTCATAACAAACAAATCAATTGTGGCTTTATGTTATATGATCTCAGGTTTGCATAATAAATTTGTAAATCAACTTAAAACAGAAGTTGGATTATATTTAGCAGCATCAGGTGCTACATGGGAGGCTGTTGACACAATGTCAAGTTTAGGATATTCTGCATGTTCTAAGACAATAGAAGAATATCAAAAAAAAATTCAAAAAGAATATACAATAAAAATTGAACAACATTTTACAAAAAATGTAAGTTACATTATTTTATTTTTATTTTTTTTTAATATAAAATCCAAAATATAAATATAAATATATTTAAATTAATTATTTTTTTATAAAAAGAATATTTTTCATGTTTATAATATAGATGATTATCATTCAATTCATGAAAATTGTTGACCAGATACAGTTTCAACATCAACTGCTAAGCATTTTGCCACATGTGTTGCAAAACCTATTGTGGAATGTTTATCTATACCACTTGTATTTAATGGAATGCTAATTCATAATTCAACAAATGTGAAAGCTTCAAGAATTTGCTGGTATTTAATAAACCTGTATACTGGAATATTTGATTCTTCATACTTAGAATATCAAAAACTTTGGATTTCACAAAAACAATTAAATAATCAATTAAATAAAATAGAATTGTTAACAATACATAATTATAATAATCATATAACAGAGAGAAAAGAAGAACATTCTATGAAAGAATTACAATTAATTGGATTTAAAGAACAAAACTTACATTCAATATATGATTATCTTAACACTTTAAAAATTATTATAGCTGTAAATAATAAAACACAACACTTAAATAAACAAGTTGCACCAATTGTAGCTGATTGGCCAGGTCAAATATTTATTAGAAAAGCTTTATATATACAAACATTATCAGAATTTCAATCAGTATTTCCACAAGAAATCAAATCGTTTCCACCAATGTTAGGTCCACTTCATGTATCATTAAATAGTAGAGAACATGTGATGTTGATACATTATTCTTTTTTTGAAAAATTATTTCATTTTGTTTTTGGTGAAAATAAAAAATTAGCCAAAAAACCTTGACCATGGTGAATAAATCTTTTACTGGAACTTACAAAATGTGATTGGCTTAAAATCAAAGATCAAATTATGAAAAAATTTAACAAAACATGTAAAGACATTGAATATCAAATTATACCTGCCACCCAAATTCAAAATCCAAATGCCGAAATCCCAAATGCCGAAATCCCAAATCCCAAATCCCAAATTATGATTAGTATTTTTTGCCGAAATCCCAAATCCCAAATACTAGTAATTTGGGATTTTGGCATCCCAAATCCCAAATGATTTGGGATTTGGGCAACACGTATATATCAAATTGCAATTGATTTACTGGATAATTTAATTCCTGCAGTATTAGATTTTTATGCTATTTTATTTAGATCAGGTTTATTTGGTAAATATGTAGAACCATTTTTTCATATTTGGACATTTGCTTTACATTGGAAACAAAAAAAATTATAATAAAACACCTTTAGTATTTCTTTTTAACATATTTTATTGGAAAGATTATAACCATTCCTTTTATGAATATTCCAAAAACATTTATCTGTATTTAATGATTATTTTGTAGAAATACTCATAATAAAATAAGAGCAAATACATCTTCAAGTGTAACTGTTGATAATATTATTAAGCAAGCTTATGTAATAAGTGTATTATTTTCAATTTTTTATTAAATATAATAATATTTTATTTAACAATTAAATTATTTTAACATATTTTATATAGTGAATCAAGATCCCATATTTAAAAATACATATTGTAAAACATGGCATTATCCTTATAATAATTCAACACTTGATTTTTTATCTAATAAGACTAGTATTTTTTTTATCACAATATTTTCATAAATTATATAATAACCTTGAAAAAAGTACACCAAAATTAAATAAAAAAGTTAAAAAACAACATCTTAAAATTTATATATTAGCTACCTTAAATGAAGAAGTAGATTTGCATCAATTACCAACTGGATACAGCACATCATATCCACCCAAACAAGGATTATATGATCAATGCAAACTTCCATTTGTTAATGAAAATAGTATAACACTTATTTGTGGTCATGGCTACCATACAGATTTTTATAATAGAAAGTGTAATTATTGTGAGGAATTCTACAAATGAGAAATCTTTGAAAATGTCAATTCATTTTTAAAATGGATTGAAAAGGAAGCAGACACACTTACACAAGAGGACTTTGATGATGAAGAAAATGATATAGAGGAGGGGGAAGAGCAATTTGAGGAAATAGAAACACAAGATATTTTGAATAGATTAGAAATAGAAATTAATCAAATAATAAATTAGTAATAATAATAATAATAGTAATAATAATAATAATAATAGTAATAAAATTATAATAATAAATATATTTTCTTTTGAACATTGTTTTTTTTCTTTGAAAATGATATTTGAAGTTGTAAAAAAAAAGTTTTAATATATATAATAAAAAAAATAAAATAAAAATTAATAAAAATATAAAATTTATTATTTTAATAGATCTAATTACATGTTATCTTTAAAATTCTTCTTTAAGATATCTTACATAAATCAAATGATACCGTTGATGCCATTTCATATTATGTTAGAAAAGCTGTAGAAGAATGTCTAGTAATAATTTCAAGGCATATGGTTTCTGCGTTCAATGTGATACTTATAGGGTAACGTAAATCATATATATTTGTCATATAAACAAATGATTAAAATTTCAATAAATAAACACATTGAATAAATTTTTTGAATTCTGATTGGTCAAAATCGCATCATGTGATGCATTCATAAATCAAGAAAATTATTTTCTAAGTTCCTATTATAGAGGTTCTGCGATCACCCACTGTTCAAAGGAACAAAACAGAAAGTCAAAAATATTCAACAAAAGACACTGGTCGACTTGTATATTCTTAGCAAATTCAACAATAAAATTTTCATTCAATTCTGTGAAAAAAGGTAAAAAATAAAAACGGCGGGGAAGATAAAAAAGAAATGGAAAGAATAAAGAAAAAAAGAATTATTAGAAAAAAATTCAATACTTACCTCTTCTCTGCATCTGTCTCTGTATTCATCTCCCAATCTCCTCTTCCTCTTGTCTCTCCAACTTCGCCATCTTGTTCCTCGCTAAAAAAAGAAAACCTTATTAAATCAAGTTATTATTTTTATAACTTATCGTTTTCTTCTCTTCAACAAAAAAATAAAAAAATAAAAAAAAAATAAGAAAAATTAGGTTTACAGAAGACAATATTCTATCAGCGTTAATATATTTTACGTGTATATCATCAAAGAAAATTACATTTTAACAAGATTTACTTCATAAATTTAAGAAGTTTAACACTTTATTACTTTTCAACAAAAAAACTAAAAAAAAAATGTAAATAAAAGAATAAAATTACAGATACGAAAGAATTTATACTATAAACCAGGAAATAAAACATTTCTCTCTTTTTCATAGTATTTCGCAATTAAGAATACCGTCTAAACTTTGTTCATAATTTAGTCTAGAATTATAATAAGTTTTGTAATTTCGATATCAGCAAGTTGTATTGGTCCTCCAACACATTCTAGAAGGAAAAGAATTATTTATTATCATCTTCAATATTAAAAATATTAAAAATGTCATTATTTACTTTATATTTTTTATTTACCAGTTACACCTTCACCTGTAAACTCAAAATGTATCCATTCACTTTGCTATTATTGGCTTTATGAATATGCATCGCTTTGAAGGTTCCTTTAAAGAAATGAAATGAATCGAACTTTAGTTACGAAAAAAAAAATATTAATCAAAAAAATTGTAAATTCATACCATCAAATATAGCATTGAAATGACGAGTTTTTACTCTAGATGAAGAATTCTTTGTGTTAATTAATTAAGTATCTATAATTAATTTAGGGGATGTTAAATGACATGGGTTAGGGGTTTTCAGGGGAGGTGTATTTATACACCTTTCGAATATTGATTTTTATTAAATATCCGCGGAAACCATACTTGTCTTCCTATATTTGTCACCTAGAATATGTCTTCACATAAAATCACCTGTCAAATTATGAACCAATAAAATTCGAAGGGATCTAGGATAAAAATGTAGACTCCCGGGTCTAGAGTAATATCCTAAACTGGGGGGTATAGATTAAGGATCCTCTTAAACTTATTAAATTTTTAAATTTTTCAACTTATGCAAAATACAACGTGGAAGAAAATGTTTACATAATTTGCTCTCACTTTCCAATCTCTTTGTTTGGATTTACAATATCCAATAATTCTTTGAGTTCAGGTTGCATACTTTAATTTCAATAGAATTTTGTTTTCCACATAAATATCCAACATTAAACCATTTAAGTTCATCAGTAGTAGGATCTTTTAATTGACGCGTTAAGCTTTGTTCATATTCAAGTACCAATCATTCATGTGACATGAATAAATCAATACTATATTTAATTTAAGTTATTTTATTTTTATTTATTTCCAACAATTGAAAAGAAAAGATCAACATGAAGTGCTATTAAAAAAGTTTAATGATATTGTAGATATAAAATGAAGATTTTTTTAAATGAGATAAAGTAATATTTTTAATTATATAATAAATTTAATAAAAAAAAATAGGTTGTACAGATGACGATTCTCTTGAAAACAAATGGCTTCATGTCAACAACTCTACTTTATAGAAATATAAAAGAACCAGAAATTCACGACTTTAGAATATTGGTTAAGTAAATTAGAGCAATTAGCTAATTTGGCAAGTGTTATTACAATTCATAAATTGGGTATACTGTAATTTATTGTGATTTTCATCCTGTAAATATAATTTGGAATCTAATTCTAGTAAATTAATTAATTATAAAAACATAAAAAATCCCGTTACTTAAAAGAATCAAAAAAATAATGTATCAAAAAACGATACTTTTGCATTAATCTTTTCAATTATACCGATAATAATGCATTCACCATAATTGGAAAAATTGATCGATTATTATAATTGGTAGACCTGATTCATCACCGTTTCCTGCAACTGTCTAAAAAAAACGTAATTGCAAACATAATTGAAAGTTTACCGTAATGACAATTCTCTTCGCATTTATTTTCTATTATAATTAGCCCCCTCATAGGGAATAAAAGGTATTATTAAAAATATTGGTTATTACTTGAATAAGAATGAATACACGTGATAAATTTTATTAACTTTTGACTTAAGAACATATTATAAAGAACGCTTCGTATTGTACCTATTCCATCAACATCAAATTTCTAAATATGTATATATTATATAATAATAATAAATTATGACGTAAAAATTTATACCAATTATAGTTAAATTACATTTAGGGATTTACATATTATTGTTGCAGCTCTATCTTTGATACCCCATTTTTGCGCGACCTTCAAATTCTAGGTGGGCAACATTAATATATTTATCATATAATTCGGGTGACTTACTGGATAAGAGTAAATCTTTGTTCAATTCTGCCTGTCTAATCCCTGAAAGAAATCGTCAAATAATTTATTAGGTAATAGATTAAATAAATTGATTAGATAAATAAATCGGGAAATTTTTTTTTTTTTTTGACTTTACCAACTATCTTCACTAATTCTTCCATTGTAATCGCATCGTGATTCATTGTTTGTTACGTTTATCATTTATTGATCCATTGTTCTTACAATCCAAAATCCAGGATCATTATTATCACCATTTTTTCTATTATCATCATCAATTTCATTAAACTTTAATATTTCAATTTGATTTATAAAATTATCATATTTTTATAAATTTTGACGAGGGAAAAGCATTATTATATATTGAGAAGCGTTATTATCATTATCGTTATTATCATTGCTTCGTTTCGTTATTTTTATCATCATTATTATTATTATATTTTGGAAAGAATTAGTAACCCGAAGCAAATGAAGCAATTGTTTGTTACAGCAAGCTCTCGAAGCAAGTGACATAAAAAAAGTCGTGAAAATTATAAAAATGAATATATTAAAAATATCGAATAGAAGAAAACCATTTGTTCTCTTTATTAATAAAAAAAAAATCTTTTTTGAAATGATTCTTTCTATTCATCTGTAAATATTACTGTAATAATAATAATAATAATAATAATAATAATAATAATAATAATAATAAATATTATCTATAATGATATTTTCTTTTATCACGAGAAATGCTTTAGAAATAAATGCGTCATATAAATAACTCTCCCATACGCTTTCATGAATATTATATAATTTTTTATATATTTTATTTATAATTTCAAAATACAAAATTTCCAATTTATAATTATGATTATTATTATTATTATTATTATTATTATTATTATTTTAAAAAAAATGTCCAATTTTATCTAATTTAATTAATGAACATCATCACGTTTAGAAATATAATCTACTGCATCTTTAACTGATCGAATTTCATCAGCTTCTTTATCAGGAATTTCAATCGAGAAATCTTCTTCAATGTTCATAACAACTTCCACCGTATCTAAACTATCCAATCCAAGATCGTCGGCAAATTTCGAATGAGGAGATACCTTTTGAAAAAAACAAGAATGTGAATAAAATAAATATTTAAAAAAATAATTACATCATAACTATCATTAATTATTATAATTATCAATAATAATGAAAATAAAACATCATTATTATCAAATAGTAATTATAATAATAATTAATCATCAATAATTATAATAATAATTAATCATCAATAATTATTAACCCACAGTCAATTCAGTTAAAAAAAAAATCTTTACCTTTTTTGGATCAACTTTGTCAAAAGATTTAATGATATCAATAATTCTTTCCTCAATGTTACTACGAGTCAGACCGGCTTCAGCAGAATAAAATCTTGGGGAAAAGAAAATATTATCGGTGGTAATAGTGTTGGTATTAATTCTAGTGTTGGTATTAGTGGAGTTGGTAGTGAAGGTGGTAATGGGAATCCTTTTTGAATCAGATTTTACTAATATATGGTTTTTGACGGAAAATGAAAAAACTCGCGGGAAGAGGATGTCGAAGTAATAGAGAATTCAATTTATTCATTATTTTTTTATATATATCTCAAATATTTATTATTAATATTTTATTATCAATAATTTCAAAAAATAATTTAAATAATAATAATAAAATTTTTTGATGTTGGAAAAAATTATTATTAAATAAATTGAAAACGATAATCTTTAGAATGATAGTTACACGGAACACAACGAAACGTAACACTAATTGTATACTTTAAAAAATGTTATATATATATTAACGTATATATATTAACGTATATATATATATGTGGTTTATTAGATACAAAGAAAATGTTTCTACGGGATTTTTGTAATTGGTTTTGTATACGGTTTGTACATGGTTTGATTTGGTTGGTGGAAAATCCAAAAATAAAATTAGAGAAAGAGAGAGAGAATGGATGGCAATATTTCATTATTTCATCACAATATTGAAAGAGATAGAAAGAGGGGACATATATATATATATATGTAAAAGAATCCTTCTCTCTTTTAAATACACCCTTCTATATATTACATATCAAAAATATATATTATATATTTCAAATAATAATTATCAAATAAAAATAAATTAAAAAAAAAAAAAATCAAATCAAATATAATAATAAAAATCAATCGAATAATAATTATCATAAAAAAATATAATTCTATAATGTAATGAAGCAAAAAAGAGAGAACATATGAAGCAAAAGACAAAAAATCTACATATATAGTCCAACAAAAAAAGAAATAATAAAAATAAAAAAATACATTTGCTGCCATCGATTCCTCTTTTCTACAAATAATGACTTTTTTTTTTTGATTTCTTACTTATTACTAATATTGTTATTAGTATTGTTATTAATATTGTTATTAATATTGTTAACTAAAATATTGTTAACTAATATTATTGTACTTTCATATATATATATATATACGTGTGTGTGTGTGTAAACATTAATTCTACTACAAGAAGAATGATGACAAGAATAATGAACAAGAATAATGGGACGAGAATAATGGACGAGAATAATGGACAAGAATAATGGACGAGAATAATGACAAGAATAATGATATGATGCTACATTATCAAAAAACAAAAAAAAAATAAAAAAAATAGAAAAGAAAATATATATTTATACGTATATTTTTCACTACTTCCACTGTCTGTCTGAGAAAATAAAATGTTCCTTGCCTTAATTTTTTTATAATGATGGCAACTTGAATAATTCGTTTTCTCAAAGGTTTTGTTTGTACAAAGTAAAAGAAAAAAAAATATTAATATCACGAAACCAATAACTTTCCTTCTTTCCCCTCCCTTTTTTTTAGGTGTCTAATAACCAACCTCAAATAATTTGTGAAATAATTTGTCAATAATTCGTCTGGTAAGAAGAAGAAGAATATATATGCACAACTAACACAACACACACACACAAAACAACACAACTAAACACAACTAACATAACTTTGCATTATTAAACCCACGCAACTCAACAAACGAACAAACATATAACAAAGAAGAACTATATACTCATATCTATAACATAACCCATATTATTGTATATATAAAGGGAACGTAAAAAGAAAAAAAAAATAAAATAAAAAAAGACATAACATATATACATATATATATATTTATATTTATATATATATATATATATATATATATATATATACCAGACGATATATATACCAAAAGAAAAATAAGAAGGGAGAGAAAGATAAGGGAGAAATCGGTTATTATTGTTCATAGCATATAAAAGAGAAAGAGAAAGAAAGAAATAAACTTTGTTGTTGTTTTTTTAATTGTTGTGAGGAGGGAGATATTATATAATTATTATTATTATTATTATTACTATCGTCATTATTTTTCTTTATTCTTCTTCTTCTGGTACTCTCCTTCTCAATCCTAATTTTCCTCCTTTCTTCTCTTCTCCTCCTTCCTCCTCTTCCTCTTCTTCAGTACCACTGTCCACTTCCACTAGTTGGATCATCTCGTTTTCGAATTGAATAATTTGATGCCGTTGGTGGGTTATTCTTGGTTTGGCTTCGAAGTCTTGATTATAGATTATTATTATTATTATTATTATTATTATCAATTATTATTATTATTATTTATCATTATTTATTTATTTATTATTATATTATTATTTTTATTATTATAAATTATTATTAATTATATAAATATTATTATAAAAATATTATATCTTTCTCATATTTTTTTACTTACAGTCTATCAGAAGTCACAACTCGATTATTTTCTACAACTGGAGCATTTGCATCTTTGTTACGACGAGGAAATTGTGTTAGTCGTGTTGAACTACCGGCCATAGTTTGTTGTTGTTGTTGAGGTGTTGTGGCAGCTGCACGAGTTGAAGTGATTCCGCCCGCATAAAGTGGTGGTTGTTTGGCAATTGGTCGACGTGATGTTGATGAAGGATCATTATTATTATTAGGAATAACTCCGGATGCATTAGCCAGTCGAGTTGCAGCAACACGTTTTTGATTTTTAGCATCATCTTCATTTGGTTCGTTAACTCCATTGCCATCATCCGGAAGTGGTAATGAAGGATATACTTTATTCGCATCTTTCTCCTAAATTAAATAAATAAATTAAATTAAATTAAATTAATTAAAATAAGTAATTAATAAATAAATAAAATAATAAATAAATAATTAATAAATAAATAAAATAATAAATAAATAATTAATAAACAAATTAATATTAATTAAATTTCATACGTATTTGAAAATCGTCCAATCAAAGACATAATCGTATTGAAATCCTTCACGAACAAATAAATCTCTAAATAATTTTCTCAAATAACTATAATCAGGTTTATCATCAAATCGAAGGGATCGAGTATAATTCAAATAGATGGCAAATTCATTGGGGAATGCACGACAAAGAAGTTCTGTGGGCGTGGTCATTTTTTTTTCCATGATGCGATCATATTTTTGTTTCTTTGTTGCTGCTTTAAGTCCTTGCCATGGAAGTGATCCACGACAGAAATACATCATAACGTAACCCAGTGATTCAAGATCATCACGTCGAGATTGTTCTAATAATATATTTTAAAAGAAAATAATAATAATAAAAGAATAATTAATAAATTAAATAATTAAATAAATTAAGTAAATAAAATAAATTAAATAAATTAAATAAATTAAATAAATTAAATAATTAAATAATAAAAATATAATTTCAAAATATCATTTTTAAAATACATACCGACACCTAGATGAGTGTTAATACTTGCATATCTAGCCGTTCCTGTTAAATTCTTATTTTCTCTATAAGGAATATGTAAGTGTGTCTTTGGATCACGATATTTTTTGGCCAAACCAAAATCGATTACATTCACTTGATTACCCCGTTTACCGATTCCCATTAAAAAGTTATCTGGTTTGATATCTCGGTGAATAAAGTTTTTAGAATGAATGTATTCGATTCGAGAAATCTAATTAATTAATTATTTATTTATTTATTTATTTAAATGTTAAATATAAAATAATAATTAAATTAGTTAAGATAATTAAATAATTAAAAATAATTAAATAATTAAAAAAAAATTAAAAATAAATAGACAACAAATAAATAATTAGTCAGTTAAATAATACTTAATTAAAAAAATTACCAATTGATCAGCCAACAGTAATACAGTTTTCAATGAAAATTTGCGATTACAAAAATTAAACAAATCTTCTAAGGATGGTCCCAATAAATCAATCACCATTGCGTTGAAATCACATTCGGTGCCGTACCAGCGGACGAAAGGGATGCCTACACCACCGGCCAGTGTTTTATAAACCTTTGATTCATATTCCAATTGTGGATGTTTAGCTTTTGTGGATTCAAGTTTAATGGCAACTTCCTCTCCGTTTATGATGTTTGTTCCTGATTAAATAAAATAATAATAATAATAATAATAGAATAGAACATATACGTGTACATACATACAAAATCAAAAAAAAAAAAAAAAAAAAAATTATTATTAGATCAAGAAAAAATTTTTAATTATGATTTTACTTTGTCAAAAAAATGTCATACTTTTAATATAATTGTAAGTTATAAAAAGTAATTCCTTAATTTAAATCTATTTCATTAAATATTTTTTTTATTTAAATATTTAAATATCTTAAATCCATTTTTTTTTTATTTAATTTATTTTTTCAAATGTATATATATATATAAATATATTTATTTTTTTTCTTACCAAGGTAAATGTCCCCAAAAGAACCTGAACCGATCTTCCTTCCTATTCGATATTTATTTCCTACCCGCAAGTCCATAGAGGTCATTTTTGCAATATATATATTCACAGGGTGTATATATGAAAAAAAAATGTGTTGAACTATGAACAAGAAATAATAATAATAATTATTATTATTTTTATTTTTTTTTTGTAACGAAAAGAATTAAATGAAATTAATATAATGATAATAAATTAAATAATAATAATAATAAAATTAATAAAGAAGAAAAAGAAGAAAAAACAAAAAAATAAAAAAAGTAGATGGCAATTAATTTATAGTTGTGTGTGTGGATATGATGTGATATTTTGTTGGCATGAATACTAAAATATAAATTAATATGTACTAAAGGTTTCTATTATAATAAGTTTTTTTTTTTTTAAATAATGATTCTAATATATATGATATTAATATTATTATTATTATGGTATGATATTGGGTAGTTATTATTTATCATTTACTGCGGAGAGACCGTTTTTGGTATTAAAGAAGTTTTTAAATTTACCTGAAGGAAATTTCTTGCTAGTCCTTATATAATATGATTCCTTTTTTTTTTTAAATAAAAACCCAGAAACTAAAAGTGAACTAGATGAAAAAGTCCAACAACAGAATGTCACAAATGTCAGTAGTGAAAGACGAAATACCAGGTAAGTCAACTGACCTAAAGATGATAAACAAATGAGATTTACACAGAAAAGTCGGAGGAAGTTTTTACACTTGGTAATAAATGAAGAGGCAACCTTTATTATATACGAAAGTTGTGGTAATAGTAAAAAAGTTAAGACTTCAAAAGAAGGTAAAAGGGTGTGTGTGGGTAATTAATTATTGTCACGGAAAATTTTTGGGGGGCTTGATTTTTTAATTTTAAAAAAAAAAAAATAACGATAAAAATCTCTAATAAAAGTTTGTATTAGTATGTTTGTATTGTATTTTATTATTAGTAGCTTTTATTAGTAGTTCTTTTTATTAGTGTTGGTCAAATTTTTTATTTATTTATTTTTTTTGGGGGGTTTATAAATTATATGAATTATATGAATTATATGAATTATATGCTGACGTAATTAACACAACACACAATACTTCAGTATCTTTAAACCTTTGTCAAAAAGTATTATAAGGAATCATTTGTCGTTAGCTCGTTATCTATTATTATCTATTTATTATCTATTATTATTATTATTATTATTATAATATTTCTATTCTATTATTTCTATTCTATTTTAATCGATTATAATATTTCTATTCTATAATAAATATTTCCATTAATTATATTCTTTCTAATTCATTTTGACCTTTTATCCCCAAAAATGTTAAAAATTCATTTATCATTATATCCTGAATGTCCCTATTTTTTTTTTTTTTTTTTTTTTCTTTTTTTTGATCAAAACCAGAAACGCCGCCACGCCACAATTGTTGTCGAACGAACAACATTCTTAAATGACGACAAGACCAATCTAATTTCTTTTATTTATATTTCAATGTTACAATTTGAAGTTTTTAATGCATTTTACAAAAAAGAATTCCAAGGTGGTTCTCCCCCAATTCTAAAAAGATCTCTTGTACTTATGAATTACATCTCTGCACACCAATTTTACTCTAAATATATTATATCGTATTACTAATACCTTTATTCAACTTTTGTGGATCAAAAATTTCCTCTCTGTGTCCAAAGCGTTCAACAACGCGAGACGCAGTAGATAAATAAAAGTGTAATAAATATGGCACGTTTTCCCCCTCAACGAATATTCATACATATAAGTTCAACAACAAAAAATGCATCATTTGAATACCTTGCATAAAAATGTTAGAACTGAAACTGTTTGAAAAAAAATCGGATATCTATTGTGTAATCTGTCAAACCAGTTTTTTTTGTGTGTTCTTTATCTAATCACATGATTATAACATGATTGTCACATGCATGATTCCTCGAAACGAAATAAATGGGGAAAAATAATAATAATAATAATAATAATACTAATAATAAAATCCTCAAAAAACAATATGAACAATGTAAACAATCAAAACGTTAAGAAAAAATCGATAATGCTATCACATCAACCTTTGTCTTTTAAAAGTTCTATTAAAAATAAAGGACAAACAAGTGTTGGTGTTTCTCAAGATCGAAATAATGATAAAACTACCATTTCAACAACAAGAAGAACGACAACAACAACACAACAAAAACAACAACAACAAAAAATTACTCAACCAAATCCTGTTAAAACCAATAGTAATTTGAAACGTAAAAATGAAGATAATTCACAAACCAAACGAAATATACGCAAAGACCCGTATCATCACAAACCCTCAAATAATCAACAACTAGAATCTTCACCTGCTAGATCCATTTATTCTAGAAATAATAATAATAATAATAATAATAGAACAGTAAAAAAATCTCCTTCAATCAATAAAAAAAAACCATTGAAAGTTAATGAGAAAGTTAATGAATTAGAAGTGAAATCGGAAATTTTAGTTCAAAATCAAAATTTAGATATTCTTCGTAAAGAGAATAAATCACTTGGTACTGAAGTTGAAACTCTTAAGGCGGATCAAAATAAATGGGTAATAGAAAAAGAAAATCTTGAAAAAGAGGTAAATCAAGATAATTTGAAAAAGAATACTTTATTAAATGAAGTTTGTCAAAAGGAACATTTTTTGGCATGTGAGGAAGCAAAACTGGTTGAATTGGAAGAGAAATTGGATAATTTTCGAAAAACAATTATTCAATTAAATGAGGAAAACAAACAATTCGATATGGAACAAGTACAATATAAATATAATATTACATCCGCTAATGATCAAATTTTAATTCAACTTGAAAAGTTAAATGAACAACAATCTCAAATTGAAATTCTTGAAATTAAATTAAAAGAACAAGAAGAGAGATGTCAAGAAATTCGAGATCAAATTGCGGTATTAAAAGCTAAATAATAATATTGTGCCCTTGTCTTTTTTTTTTTTTTTTTTTTTGAGTGTGTACATACATCATATACAGTATGTATATATTATTTTCACCTGATAGACGACAATAATAAAATAAAAATCAAAATTTTTAGATCATATAAATTTTTGTGATACAATATAATTGTATCGTGATAACTTTAAAAAAAAATGATCTCTCAATTCTTTATTTTATCGCCTCATCGAGGCGATACACTTGTATTTCGTGATTGTAAGTTTTTTTTTCGAAACAATATAAAGTCATTCATTAATAAAATTCCTCAAAACATCAATATAAAATATGTAAAAAGAAATAATAGTAAGTTATAATACGTGAATTCATATCATATAGATCGTCATGAGGTACCTCGCGACGCACCCGATCTTCTTCTCGATAAATTAACTAATTGGCACAAAGAAAATGGTCAAGAACAAGTTCCACCACCAATTTTTGAAATTAATGGTGTGCAATTTCTATTTATTCAAACGCATGACCTATACTTTGTATGCACGACAAAGTTTGATGTTTCGCCTTTTATGACCTTCGAACTTCTTGACCGGATTGCAACGCTTATCAAGGATTTTTGTGGAAGTTTAAGTGAAGAGATTTTACGATTAAATTCTGGTTTGGTTTATGAACTTTTAGATGAAGTTATCGTAAGTAATTCAAAGATCAATTCTATCAATTCTATCAATTTCTATCAATTCAATTAATTTCTATTAATTCCGTTAATTCTATTAATTCTTTCAATTTCTATTAATTCCGTTAATTCTTTTAATTCTTATAAATTTTGTTGTTTCATAAATATCATAAAATTATTAGGATTGCGGTTATCCTCAGACAACATCAACAAATAAATTGAAATCTTATGTATATGAAGAACCAATATCTGCTAAACGTAATAATATTATCATGGATTCCTTAGCAAAACTAAAAGCACCTGGTATCAATATTGGAAATTCGAATTGTCGACCAATCAATATACGTGATGAGAATAGTAGAAATAATGAAATCTTTATTGATATTATTGAACGAATTGTTGCTTCATTTGCTTCTAACGTAAGATATTCGAAGATGAATTTGATAAATTTTCTTAAATAGATTTTTTTTTTAGAGATGATTTAAATATATATATATTATTATTATTATTATTATTATTATTATTATTATTATTATTATTAGGGAATGACAGTTCAAGCTGAAATTGATGGATCAATAAAAGTGAAAAGTTATTTACAAGGAAATCCAGAAATTCAATTAGCACTTAACTCTAATATAATCCTTGGTCAAGATTCAGAAGTTACTGGTAATTTATATATTCATATTTATTTATTTTTTTAAAAATAATAATATTATTATATCTAATATTATAACACTTTTTTTTTTTTTTTTTATGAAAGTGTAGATGATCGATATGGAATTATATTTGATGATTATAAATTTCATGATTCAGTAGACGTCTCAGGTTTACCTTTGTTGAATTTTTCAATAATTCAAAAATAATTCTTCTTCATTTTTTAAATCGAGTATAATAAAATAATAATTCAATAATTAATTAGGTTTTGAAGAAAATCGAAGAATGACAATATTTCCACCAGAAGGTGAAAATATTATTATGAAGTAAGTTTTATTTATAAATTATTGTTATTATTATTATTTTTAACATTTAATTAATTAATTAATTGATTTTTATTTTTAGTTATCGTATAACTAATAATATAAATTTGCCATTCCGGGTGTTTCCATTGGTTCTACATGTACCAGGATATCCTAAAAGAATGGATGTCACCGTTCGCATTCGTGCGGATTTTCCGGAAGATAAAATCGCGACCAAATGTACGATGATTGTACCTTTACCACACGTCACTCAAAGGTATAACACTCTTGAAATATAAAAATTAATTATATCTTATTTTAAATTAAATTTAACAATTTTTATTCGGTTGCTATTCACAGTGTTTCATATGAACGATTAAATGATAACTCTGGTCAATCCGCTCAATATGATAATAAAATCCAAAAAGTGATCTTGACGATAAATAAGTTAAAAGGTGGAAGTGAGAGGTCAATTAAATTAAAGGTAAAAGTTAAATCCATTTTAATTTCTTTAATTTCTTTATCTTCTTTAATTGCTTTAATTGCTTTAATTACTTTAATTCCTTAATGATTTAATTGATAATCTCATAATTAAAGCTTACGGGATCAGTACCGTTCTTACCTGCCGCTCAGTTAGAAGTTGGACCAATAAAGTAAGTTGATAAGTTTTTCGTAAATTTTTTATGAATTATATGTTTCACAATGTAAAAAACTAATTTTAAAATTTTATAAAATTTAAATTTCATTGAATTTCAAAAGTCTTGAATTTGATATACAAAATTACACGTCTTCCAAAATACAAATTCGTCGATTAAAAGTTCATGAGAAGAATAATGCTTTGCCTCCCCAAAGAAGATGGATAAGATTTTATACCATCTCGGAAAGTTATGTTTTTCGTGTTTAATTACTTTAATTACTTTTAATTTAATTTATTTTCTTTTTTTAAATCAATTTTGGAATATTTTGTAACATAATTTTTAATATATAGATTATATAGATTGTATTGTAGACCAAATTTATTGAGTTTTTTTTTACAATTTGGATTTTACAGTTTTTTATATTATTTATCTGTTTTTTTTATTTCTAAGAAATGAAAATGAATAAAATGAAAGAGAAATTGATTTTTATGAAAAGAAAAGAAAGAACTTATACTACAAAAAAAAAAAAAAAAAAAAAAAAAATAGAAAAGGAGAACCGAGATTTTTTTTACATCAAATTACGAGAAAAGATCTTGAGTAAATATAATAGCATATTCATATAATGAAATATATAATAGAATGCTTATTCAAAAGTCGTCTTCATCTTCTCCATAATCGGGTGATCTTCCACCCGGTGAAACTCGTACATAACGACGAGAGTTTTCTTCTTCCTCTTCTTCTTCGCTATCAATATCTCTATCATTTAGATGTGTAGCATCTTCGGGTTTTACTGTTTCTGCAGCATCAACCCAATCTGAATAAACATCTACAGGATCACTTAATTCTATAAAGATAACAAGTAAATATTAAAATAAAAATTATATATATCTATCTATATATCTATATTTGTTGATAAAAAAAAATACGTTACGATTAATTTTTGACTGAAATTTTGCACCACACGTCCTACAAGACAAATTACCAACTTTATCTTCCCTCTTCCTATAATTATATTAATTATATATCAATTATTTAGTATCCCTTTCCAACAATCAATCGTTATAAAAAAAAAAGAATTTCCTTGAAGGAAAAAAAAATACGTTGAATTACGGTAAAAAAAAAAAGGAAATTTTTTTAAATTCTCACATTTTCACATCAACACTTTTTTCATGGTGACAAAAGATGCAATCAAAATGTGTATCTAGGACAAGTTTCTTTTTTGCCATCGGCTTTCTCTTAGTTTTACGTTTACCCATTTCTTTTAATTTATGATATATAATATATATTATATTATATATATATATATATATATATAAATATATTAGTCAGGGAAAATAAAAAACTGAGTCTTGTATACAAACATTTTTTGATAGAAAGTATTTTGGATATAATAAATCAATAATAATAATAAGTATCTATGCAGAGTTAGGAGTTAGCTACACCAATCACGAGTCTTATAAGTAAGACTTTAATGTTTAATTTGGGGGCGATCATTACAATGGATACTCAAAGTCTTTTGATTTGGAACGTGACTAAAAATATTGTACAACATAAAACCTAATCTGGCAATTGATAGATAAAAACCATTTTTAAAAAAAAACTTAGCAAACTTTTATAAGGAAAGTGAGATTTCGGTATATATAATTCAAAAATTTATTAATTTCAGCCGAAATTAATGTTAATTTTGGTCAAAATTAATAAAATTTATTTGTCCAAATTATTTTTTTGCCATTTATTTTTATCATTGTAATTATTTCCTATTTTGAGTATTATTAATATTTGATTCTTGTAATATATTACTATTTGTATAGCTTTCATTATTATTGGATATCTTTTGTTCTGCAGATTCTTTATATAAACTTGCTGAATATTTCATTATCCATTCTTCAATTATTTTAATTTCTGATATTTCTTCTACTCTTTTCAACTATTTTTTTTAACTCACCTATCATATCTTTTGTAAGCATTCAATCAGTTTTGTTTATATTTTCTGCAAAAAAAAAAACTTCTAGTTCTTATTTTTTTTTTATATGCTTTCCTAATTCTCAAATAGATCTATTTCTTATAATTTTTTGTAATCTTATCTTTTCTCCAATATTTGTGATGGTAGTTTAGATAACCAAGATAATGATAATAATAAAAAACTAAATATTTTTTATAACTTGAAAAAAGTAAATTGATATTATATTAATAAGTTTGATGGTTATAATATTTTTTAGCAAAATTAGTTTTGTTATAATTTGAAGATATAGAATAAAATTTTAAGAACAGTTATTATTTTTTGAGATAGGCCTAAGATTCGTCTGTTTCCTTCCTATATATAAAAAAATTTCACTTTATATTTTTAGTTACCTTATAAGTTTCTAACAATATCTTAAATATGATTAATAGTTATATATGAAGTGTAAAAGTTTCAATATATTTTTATCATTTTCTATTGTTAAACAATGAGCTCTACTTATACCTGCCACCCAAATTCAAAATCCAAATGCCGAAATCCCAAATGCCGAAATCCCAAATGCTGAAATCCCAAATCCCAAATCCCAAATCCCAAATACTAGTAATTTGGGATTTTGGCATTCCAAATCCCAAATGATTTGAGATTTGGGCAACACGTATAGCTCTACTCTGGTTATACATCAAGAATCACTAAGCTACACTATATATATTTATCAAGAAAAGTCAATTTCTTTATATATTAATATAATAAATGGCTTATACTAAAAAATAATCATTATTAATTCTTTATATAACCTTTTATTTGTAAAGTACAAAATTTAACTCAAGACTCATTTATCTATCAAAAGCCAATCTTATCAATATATCCAATTTCAATTATCAAGAAATTTTTGGATACAAATATATCTAAATATTTTTTAGTTTAAAAAAATTTAAATAAATTTATAAATTTATATAAATATATTTACATACAGTATATCTGAATTTTTTCTATTTTAAAATATATCTAAATATTTTTATTCAAATATATCTGAATAATTTCAAATTAAATATATTTACAAATTTATATGAATTTATTTAAAAATTATTTAAATAAATTTGTAGGACATTAAATTATATTTGAAATTATAATCTTTAACAAATATTTAGATTTATTTTAGTTTTAAAAAAAATTGTTAAATAAAAAATATTCTAATTAATTTATTTTGTTTATTTAATTTTACAAATATATATTTTATTTTATTTTATATTAATTATTTATAAAATATCATTAATTATTTATAGTGTTAACTGTGGTCCAACCTTTAAAAGATATGATTAACTATTAATTAAAGGTACAGTAGCTAAACTAAAATATATTACTATTAACTAATTTATATTACAAAAAGTATAATGGTTGAAATATTTAGATATTACAGATTTGTTTGAAAGAGGCAAAGTTATGAGATTTTTATAAGAGTTTAATTAAACTATTTATGAAAAATAAAGTATAACTAATCTAAACTATACTTGTATACAAAATTATTTTAAAATTCAAAACCTGAAATATAAATATCCTGAAATTGATCTTGAAATATCATTTTAAAATTTTGATATTTTAAAATTAAAATAGAAGTTGAAATTAAAAATAAAAGTTGAAATTAAAAATGGGAATTGAAATTAAAAATAAAATTGAAATTAAAATAAGGTCAAAATTAAAAATAAAAGTTGAAATTAAAATAAAAGTTAAAATTAAAATTAAAATAAAAATTATTAAAAAAAATTTTTGAAAAAAATATATATTTTCAAAAGTTATATAAATTTTTAAAAATTTTTATTAAAAAAATTTTTTTTTTTTAAAAAAATAATATTAATATATACTACAAGTTTATAATTATGATTTCAAAAGAAGGATAAGTACCTATATTATTTTACAAGCCTAAGAGCATAATTCCAAAAAAAAGTAAGTTAAGAAGAGATAGAAAGGTAAAATAAATATATTCATTAAAAAAAATAGTAATAAAAAGAAAGAAAAAACTTATTCACACCATTTCATAATCACCTATATTATTTCACAAGTCAAAGAGTACAATTTCAATGAAAGTAGATTAAGAAGAAGTAGAAAGGCAAATTAAGAAGTTATAAAAAGGTAAGTTAAGAAGAGGTAGAAAGGTAAGTAAATTTATTTTATTAAAAAAATAAAGAAAAAAAAAGTTTACTTACATCATTTTACAAATTCAAGAATATAATTTTAATGAAAAGTAAATTAAAAAGAAATAGAAAGGTAAGTAAATATATTTATTAAAAAAATAATAATAAAAAGAAAGAAAAAACCTATTTATACTATTTCACAATTGTCTATATCATTTTACAAGCCCAAAAGTACAATTCTGAAAAAAGATAAGTTAAGAAGAGATAGAAAGGTAAGTTAAAAAGAGGTAGAAAGGTAAGTTGAGAAGAGATAAAAAAGTAAGTTAAAAGGTAAAAAGGTAAATGAATTTATTTTATTAAAAAAATAATAATAATAAAGAAAGAAAAAACTTACTTATACCATTTCATGATCACCTGTGTCATTTCACAAGTTCAAAAGTACAATTCAGAAGAAAGATAAATTAAAAAGAGATAGAAAAGGTAAGTAAATATATTTATTAAAAAAATAATAAAAAAAAAAAATAAAAAACCTACCTAACCATTTTGTAAATTCAAGAGTACAATTCTGAAGAAAGGTAAGTTAAGAAGAGGTTGAAAGATAAGTTAAAAAGAGATAAAAAGGTAAGTTAAGAGGTAAAAAGATAAGTAAATTATTTTATTAAAAAAATAATAATAAAAAAAGAAAAAGCTTACTTATACCATTTTGTGATTACCTGTATTATTTTGTGAGTTCAAAAGTATAATTCTGAGAAAAGGTAAGTTAAGAAATATATTTATAAAAAAAAAAAAATAAAAAATCTAATTATGTTATTTCGTGAACTTAAGAATACAATTTCAAAGAAAGGTAAGTTAAAAAAAGGTAGAAAGATAAATTAAGAAGAAGTAAAAAGGTAAATTAAGAGATAAAAAAATAAGTGAATTATTTTATTAAAAAATAATAATAAAGAAAGAAAAAACTTACTTATATCATTTCATAATCGTTGTTACTATATTTTTTTATTCTCTTTATTGTTGTCACATTTTCACTATTGTTTTTGTTGATCACATCTAGTTACCATTAATCTCCGCACTGGTTGAAAATAATAAATAATACACATATCAGGTACCTGATATGTACATGGTACATTGTCACCGGTGGTCCTTGGTTTTATCAAGAGCCACCTGAGTAGAGTGACTT